AAAACGGCTTAAGCTTAAAAAATTTGCAGAAAAATATTTAAAAAAAATTGAACGAAATCGTAATGATGAGATTTTTGATGATGTTTTCTAACTTTTTTTAAAGATTGGTATACCAAAAACTTGAATAACTGAACCTAAACTCTTCCGATTTAGACTTAGGAGGTGTCGTTAGAAAGGTATTTTCTCTACCTTTTTATCTCTTTGCTAATAAACTCATTCAAAGGATGAAAGAGAAAGCTAGGATGAAGGAACGTCATTCAAAGTCGAATTAAGATGTGTTGGTATTTGAAAAAAAAAAATATTGGGACACGAATGACTTTTTGTTGGACAGAAATAAAAACAGTGTGAAAATACCTTTCAACTGAGTTCCCATAAGTCTAAATCAGAATAGTTTTGGCCCAGTTATTCAAGTTTTTCGTAAATTAATCTTTGAAAAAAGTAAAAAAACAGCATCAAAAATCTCATTCTTACGATTCCGTTTAAACGATTTTTAAATATTTTTATGCAGATATTTTAAGCTTAATCTGTTTTGTCATCTGAGGGGACCTTTTTCAAAAAGTTTTTTAAGAAACTATTTTTATTCATAAAAAACTACATTTTTGGAGGTATTTTCAAATCGGTCCAGCTCACTTAAATCTTAATATTTTCCCGAAATATTTTGGTGGATGTCTTAAAATATAATAAATTTTGTAATCCTGGCGGAAAAACCGCAACTTTTTTTGGTGATGCAGTCTAATATACATACATATGTACATATACGAATTTAATTTTGTGATGGCATTTTCGTAGATTTTACGAAAATCACACTACGATGGATTCAGTGGTATCCCCGAGCAAGGTGGCGTACCCTAGACTTAAGTTTAAAAATCGTATATACAATCCGATTTAGCTCAGGCAATTAATAACACTGGTTTACAGCGAAATTGTTCTTCCGAAAATCGAGTTAATTTTTTTTTCTATGGATACGTTTTCGAGATATTTGCAATTTACCGTTATTCAGCTTAAAACAAAAATTGGTTCCTTTTAATCACGTACATATATCTTACGAACCAATTTAAAAATCTTAATATAAAATGCGGCAAATGAAAGCCAATGAAATTCTCCATAAATTGTATATACATCACTTCGATAGGGCGTATAGTTTCTGACAAATTAATTAATTATTCCAGCGTTTTTTTTTAATTTTTAATGAAAAAATTATAAATATCTAATTTTAAGATGAAAAATTTAAAAAATAACAGGTTTTGTGCCAAATTTTTGCATTTGATAAAAAATCAAGTTACTGATGAAGAAAATCGATGGATAAATACGAAATATGAGTGGTCAAATGAAAATGGGCAAAGATTTTTTGTATTAAATACGAGCAATAAAGCGTGTTACTCAGGTGTACGTGGCGTATGAGTAACACGCTTTACTGCTCGTATTTCATACGAAAAATCTTTGCGCATTTTCATTTGACCACTCATATTTCGTATTTATCCATCGATTTTCTTCATCAGTAACTTGAGTTTTTATCAAATTCAAAAATTTGGCACAGAACCTGTTATTTTTTTAATTTTTGATCTGTTAAAGTTAAATTTTTTCATTAAAAATTAAAAAAAAAAACTGGAATGATTAATTAATTTGTCAGAAACTATACGCCCTATCGAAAAGTGATGTATATACGGTTTATGGAGAATTTCATTGGGTTTCATTTTCCGTATTTTATATTAAGATTTTTAAATTGGTTCGTAAGATATACGTGATTAAAAGGAACCAGAGTTTGCTTTAAGCTGAATAACGGTAAATTGCAAATATCTCGAAAACGTATCCATAGAAAAAAATTAACTCGATTTTCGGAATCACCGAGGAATTGGATAGTGGCGTCTCGAGAACAAAAACCAAATTAAAATTTGTGATCCAGCGTGATTTAATCTCTAGGTTTCGATGGGCCGGAGTTTATTTTGTCGTATTTAGTGCCTGATTTAATTAATGTTTGGCTCTATATGTAGTGTACATAGGTGCTTCTACTGCGGGGGGTGAAATAACGCAAACGGCAATAACGCAAATTTGTGTTATTTCCCAATTGAATGTGAAATAACTCAAATTTGCTTTATTTCATTTCTCGTTGAGCAATAAGACCAACTTTTTAACTTAAAAATTGAGTAATAAAGTAAAATAGGACACATAGCTAGTCACCCAGTTACATTTGACAAAAAGTAGTAAGTGAATAAGTTAAATGGACGGATTTGTCAAAGTGTAAACAAGGCTTAAAGTTACGCAGTGTTACTCACCTCAGATTCACGACGAGAGGGGTTGCTCTTACTACTATTTGCCTTGTCAACACTCAATTCTTGTGCTTGTGCAGGAACTTTATTTATTTCAGTTGCTTCTTTGGGTTTTTGTTCGTCCTTTTCCTCTTCTTTTACCACTTCTGTTTGTGCAGCGGCACTACAATTGGGCCCATAATTGGACTTCTTAGAAGTCTTTTGCATTTTGGACTGCTCGTTTTTATCCACTACTACTTTGCGCTTCAATGCATTTAAACTATTACCTGAAAATGTAAATTTTTAGTTAAGAAAACGAGCGATTGTTTTTGCAATAACCAAATTACCGTCAATTTTTGCCTTATTAAATGCGAATGGGCTGCTTGCCAAGCTTTTTAAAACGTTGCTGAAATGGTTGCCAATATCGCGTGAGATTTCTTTTTGATGTTCCAGGTACTTTATGATGGAAGCATTCGTGCGATAAAAAATTTCCAATGCCTCAACCGACAATGTTGTAGGGTTACTGTGATTAATTTTAATTGGATAGGTGGCATTGCTTTCGTACAGATTATTGGCGGCCTATTAAATGTATATTTTTATTACTCGATGTGCATATGGTTATATTTTTTAGTGGCTATTTAATTACCTTCAAATAAAAATTCAAATAAGTTTTGGGATGATCTTTTTGCTTTTCGGCAATTTTCCCTAGCATATACTGGCACAACCATTTCTCTTCATGAGAGTCTTCGTTCTCTTCGCTACTGTTTTGTTCAGCATTTTGTAAAGCAGCAGCCAAGGAAAAGCAATTATGAGTAATATTCAAAACACGTCCTTTGCGCGCTTGCAGTAGTGATGTTCTAGACATTGTGAAAATGTAAAGAAGATATGCAGTGCATTATGGTTGCAGTGAAGTTTAAGAATCTTATTATAAACTTACTGTTCGGCTGTTAAATTTTCTGCTGAGCGCTTTAGTTGGCGTGAACAATAGGAATGAAGTGTGTACGTAAAAGAGCCATATTCTATCCATAGCAAGGTTTGCTGGCGATTTAAACATATGCACATTTCAAAACATCTTATGGTATCTTCTGATTCGGCTAAAATATTACTAGGACTGAATAGACATAAAAAAAAAACAGAAATTATACTCAAAATATAGCGTATTATATAAACATACTTCATGGGCGTCAATCCATTTAGTCTCGTTTCAATTTTGCTTGCTTTGGATAATGCAATACCCGCCCACGAATCGAAGCGTGTGGGGCTTATTGTTAAATCCAAGGTATAATACTTGATTGCTTTGGAAAAGTCACGATTTTTGAAGTAATAATCAGCCAACAAATAGAATATACAACGTATCTTATAGGGCAAAGAGGTATGTGCAGGTTCTAGTGAACCAAAATCATTGCCTTTAATAAACTCTAATATTTTTGTAGTTGCCGGCGA